GGCGTTATCTAGCGTTATCTAATCACGGCTGACACCGACTGCCCTCGGCCATCGACAATCGTTGACAGTCAACGGCGGCTGTCAACGACCGGGTCAACAACGGGTATATAACTCGACTTTCCGCTACTTTTTGCTTTCGGCCCATTGCTGGCGCCTTGTTATTCTTGCTCCTCAAACATTTTGTGTGTGTGTGAATGGCCCAGGAACTTCGACTTGACCTCGTCCACTGGCAGTCATCGACTCAGTCAATCAAAGTCTCAAACGCAGCAACAACGCTGGCGCGAGTCGTTCCCTGGTAATCAGATGAGATGACATTGCTCTACACAGGCCTGCTTGGCCAAGTCTAGTCTCGAACGACTTTACGCCGATCAAAATTCTTTGTCTATCTATATCACAAACCCACGTTCATCTTGTTTCCCATCCGATAAGCCACCTCACTCTTCGACTACGAGCTGAATTTTCCGCGCCTCGTAATGGTCCTCCCACTTTATTGGCCTGGTCGTTATTTTTTCTACCCCATTGGCAACACTTCAGCTGTCTCGTTGACCAGGGATCTCGCTCCCGAGACGGACGGAAAAATCCTTCTGCTTGGATGTGGCGATCCGAGAAATATCTTATACACAATATTCTGTGAACCTGACCACGGTGCGTATTATTGTTTTACAACAAATTCCTAACCAACATGTCCCGAACACAGTTCAACGCACTCTCGATTTTACTTGTTGCGATGTCGATCCTGCTATCCTCGGTAAATCCTTCAGTTGAGGCTTGGGGGATTTGAACCTGACCTACCAGATACATAGCACGCAATGTTATCCTGCTCACAATGGTAGCCGATCACGAAGCATCTCCAGCGACCATCTGGAATATCTTCTACCACATGCGGCTCGATGAAGCAGCATTGGTGGTCTTGGTGTCCCATTGCAGAAAACTCCTCGACATCTCTTTGACGCTCAAGCAGTGGCGTACCTCGGTGTATTCACACTTCATCAAAATATGCACCGAGTACACACTTACTGAGCTTCGACGTCACTGGTCGTTGTATGCGACGATGCAGCATATTCCTTCGCAACGAAAGGTTGCCATTGAAGCCGAAATCACTGAACGTTCAACATTCGCAAAACAGAATATTATAACCGCTATGATTAGTGCTGCGCGTTCAGCCGGCCCTCTAGTGACAAGGGCAATGCCCCTTTGTACCCAACTGTTTGATGAATATTGGACCGCAGGCGGGAACTTTGTCAGTCCAAATGAAGCTCGCCGCAGCAGATTGCCGAATCCGACATTTGTGTACTCGCTCGGTGGGGAGGGATGCTCCGTTCATTACGGAACAAGTCCCATAGTTTCATTCCATTTAGCATCGACGCTAGGAAACAGCAATAAAGAGCCGACCGCTGCCCAGATTGTAACCGCAGTCAGGGCGGAATTCTCGGCCTGGTGCTTATCCTTCTACAAGTCTGTTGTCACTCAGACGAGTAAAACACTCCCTATCATTCGCTTTATCCTTGGTGAATCGACCGCTGTCTGCCGTTCCCTTCGCGCCTATGCAACCACCCGAGTCCTCACCGCGGGAAACCCTGTGGCAAACTGGAACACCCAGCTCATCACGCTGGATCAACATGAATATCTAGCTGCTGGCGCACCAACAACTTTTAACATCATTGACACTTCCAATCTCGATGATCATATTGGCAGTTTCAATGTCCTTGTCGCTGCAGTTCCCTTGTTGCCAATTTCTCCACAGTACTTTGTGCTTTACACAGAGTCCCTCCTTTTTCGCGACCTCGATGCGACCAAAGAGTTTGCCGACCTTCTTTATTCCGACCTCTCAACCTTTGGTCTCCTCATTGGCATATGTCCGGTCGACTACCTCGCTGGGTTCTCCTCTCGGTCGAACATGCATGAACTGATCATGTACGACGCGATGAAGAAGACATTGGATGCAGGACAATTCCATAGAGCCACCACCTGGAAGGCTCCGGCATTTGCACATGACTTGGGTTCCTGGAGTCGAGAGAAACACCTGCTACCAATTTTCGACCCGTCACAACTGGGAACCCGCCTTTACGACATGTACCAGCAGCTCTTTGAGAAGGAGGAACCCAGTTATTTTGCGCAGCAAGTTAATGCAGCCGGAGACATGAGTCTCGCGCTCGCGACCTCAGATATGATCCACCAAACTCGGGAAACCTTTGTGCTGTTTCTGAAGTTGGTGAGGGAGCGGCTTGAAATTCCGGATGCCCGATGGTTGGAGACAATGGAGCGTTTTTGCGCGCTCTTAGTTATTGAACGGATGGAATTCACGTTGGATCTGCTCAGCAGACACGACTTGTATGCACGGTTACGTCTTCATGGAGTTCACACCCCTTCCTTCTTCAACTTCAATGTGCCGAAAGTGGGTCCAATGGCCAGCTGGGATCGGGTTCCTTCCCTCGTCCGCATTATCCTCGTCGTCCCGCGACAAAGTCTCAAGATGCTTGAGGAAGCCGCGATCAAAGTTGGAACTCCTTTGCTACAATGTGAATTCAGGGGAACTGGACGAAAAACACTCGACATTTTCAGATCTATACACGCTGCGTTCGGGTCCATAACACCAACGGGTACACCAGCCCGCCCGAGTGTGCTCTTCAATGCAGACCCTCTCGGGCAGAAAGGGAGTTCCCCTCTCATTGTGTCGTTCATCGTCGCTGCACGACTTCTAACGGTGGATGCCGTCGACAAAATACAAGTGGGCATTGCGATACAGAGTACAGCAGGTGTTTCCTGGGCACTGACCAAGCAGTTCGGATCGGAGTTTCCTCTGTACAGCACCAATATAATGGACAAAAGCCATGTTCATGTCTTACCAGAGCAGGACTTACAACAACCATCCATCGACCACCCTCGTGTCACTGCCACTGCCGTCCCTCAGATCGGGATTGTGGATCCATTGACAGTAGAAATGGACGACGAGTGCGAGTTGGTGTCTCGTCTCATCGTTCGAGTCTCTGTTGATCGTCAAGAGGCCAAGACACTGTTCAGTTCTGCTGGATATAGGCCGGGAATAGTTCAGAGATCTGCTTGCGTGATACAATTGTCGATTGGGAAATACGCACAGGATATCTTCTTTCCATTCCCGGTGATGGGAAGCGAAAATCGTCTCCGTCTCGCGAGGAAATCTCTTTACATAGAGGTAAGCAACATAAATTGTATGATGAACCTCGATTAATTGGATTAGGTCGTCGTTCCAATCTCAGGTGCATTTCGTTCGGATGGAACAAAACTCAACCATTTCCCAATTGTCGGAGAAAACCTCGCTTTCGCACCCTGGAGTTTACATTGCGTGAACTTGCGTCGGTTGCCCGTACTCGACACTAAAGCCTTTGATATCTCAAAATGGCTTAAACCCCACCTCGCCTGGATGCTTTCAGCCCGCGAGCGGAAATTGACAAAAACTCATGAAAATGATACACTCGCTTTGGTGAAGGATACAATACACACAATTTTCTGCCATGCATCGGGGATCGCCGGGCCTCTACGGAGAGTGTTCGCATTGCGCGATAAGCCTTCCGCCGAGTGCGATACAATCATATTCATCAGCGACGTCAGGTTCGACCTAGCATTTCACACCTTGATCTGTGATGGATATGTTCTGCCGCTCACGCCTGCGCTCATGCACAACATCAGGGGCGATTTCGGTAAACTTGTACAAGAAGGCAATATTTTCAATGTCGGCGTCTATGGGGACGAGATGAGAGCGTGGAAACAACTCTTACCCTCGTTTGCCGAGCGCTGTCGGTCGTGGAAGCACACCAATAATTGTGAATATGCGAGTCGAAGAAGGGTTCCACTCGGCGTCGAGATGCATCTGGACCCTCTCTGCACCTGCGGCCGCGGCAAGGATGTGGAGGACATGAAGAGTGTGCGACTATGGAGCCAATTTGCCCCTTGGGTTACCAGAATCGCGATGTCGCCTTTGTTCGCCGTCTCGTATTTGGAGCCAATCGTTCGGGATCCGAATGCGGGGCGGTGCTCTGTTTGTCGAGGGAAGGGTAAACCAAAGATGAAAAAGTGCGGGACATGCGCCAAGGTGAGATATTGCTCTGCAGATTGTCAGAGAAGCGATTGGAAAGCCCACAAGCCGAAATGCAAACCTGTTTCCTCGTAACGATGGGCTAGGATAGCACATTTATGTCCAAATCTGAAATAATACAGCAGGCTTTGTGTATGTGCGAGAGCCATCGAAAGCTTCGGTGTGCTTCGAAACCCGAGTGCCATCGTCTGCCTAGGTAGAGTCAATTGTCGAAGGCCGCCGTCGAGTTGAAGTTTTGAATCGTTCCTCCGGGATGTTGAGGAGAAAAAGGAGATCCCATTAACATTTCAAAGACGCCAGCAAGTTGCCGATAGCGAAAAGTCGAACGTTGAAGGCAGGTAAGGGCATCGGCGGATCAGACTGGCGCAGCGGACCGTGGCATTTCTTCGTTTCTGGTTCACTGACCCACTACCACGCGGCCATGGAGAACATTTTCCTCCATGTCTTGCCGTTGGAACCGTCTGAAGTGCCATATCCAAGCCCACGAACCAGCCACACACCTTTTAAATTGGCGTTGCAAGTTTTCAAGTATCGCTCCCTTCTTGAACTTTCTTGGACCTGTTCTACTCCGAATTGGACCCACCAACCCCAGAACACTTCATAGCCTCTTTAGCTCAGTGGTAGAGCGCTGCAAAAAAATGACTGACTTTCCAAGTCTCATCATATCTCATCATATCTCGTCCGCCCTTTATCCAGCTCTTTATCCTCGACCTTTCTTGGACCTGTTCCACTCCGAATTGGACCTACCAACCCCAGAACACTTCAGGGGCCTCTTTAGCTCAGTGGTAGAGCGCTGCAAAAAATGACTAACTTTCCGAGTCCTTCTTACGAAGTCTCACGTCCGCCCTTTATCCAGCTCTTTATCCTCAACCTTTCTTGGACCTGTTCCACTCCGAATTGGACCTACCAACCCCAGAACACTTCAGGGGCCTCTTTAGCTCAGTGGTAGAGCGCTGCACTTGTACAAAACGAGCATATGCAGCGGTCAGTCGTTCAATCCGGCTAGGAGGCATGGTTTTTGCATCCTGGTTCGATGCCGGTACATAAGCGTCTCTTATTTCCGTTTTACCAAAGGCTGATCAAAGATTGGGTTATGAGCGAACGCTGGAGAACCGGGAACCACCGGACCCCCGTATTGGTTCATATGTGAGACGGTCCGGGAGCGCCAGCGCGAGCGCTCAGTCCCAATTTACGATCCCAAATGGACGCAAGTGCAATCTTTGCAAGGTCAAGGACTGTGCTTATCGACAGTTCTACAAGGTCGAGACTCTCTTCAATCTCCCGCCCCATTATTCGCGCCATTTATGGCTGAAGATTAGGCGTGGGATCCAATGGCCGCCGGTGCGTCCGAGTAAACAGAATAAGGAAGGGAGAGAGAGAAAACAGCGTTTGGAGGGGGGCTAGCATCGGACATGCGCAAAGGGACAGATTGATTCTTTGTAGTGCTACAATGTGTATCGTTTACTTGTTTCTCTCGAACCCCGGTGAATAATTACAACTCGTCGTCGTCAGCTTCATACTTGATGTTTGGGACATGCGCGTCGCAGAAAGACATGATATGAACAGCAGCGGCAGGGAAGAACAGAGTCATTATGGTGGAGAGTGCGAGTGTATTAGAGCGCAGCATCTCCGCCAGATGGCCTGTTGGCGCCAGTTCGAGTAGTGCGTCGAGATTTCTATAAAAGTCGATGGACCGGTGGGCCGCTTCGATATTGCGTGGATACCAAAATGGATCAAGGAAGATGGCCGGGCCAAACTGGCGTTGCGGAGCGTCAATATTTCGGCACGATAAAAACCACAAAGAAAAGACTCACAGCCAAGTACACCTTGCGGAGCTTGCCCCACGACGTTACCCGGCCTTCAATCTCGCGCTTCCATGCGGTATAAGTTTTGGAGGAACCCTCCGCGAGGTGCATTGCCTGATACACAGCCGTCTTCCTAGTTGTACCGCCGGGACCAGCGCCAAGCTGGCTCATTTCGATGCTGAAGTTGATTGCGTTGATTGTTTGAAAGACATTACGAATGTAGTTGGATATGTCCTGCGACTTCTCCTGCAGGGTAAGGTTCTTGGGAAGAGTTATTTTGTTGAGGGTGGAGAGCACATCGGAACTCACACAATGTCTTTTAACGAGACGCGCGTGAAGGTCCTCAACTTTGTTACACTCGATCTCCTGTGTCAGACAATCTTGGATTGAGACGGTTTTCATGTTGACGCGCCCTCGAGCGCAACGCTGTGGGAAATTAGCCAAACAGTGCGAGCGAACGGGATGTAACTGACCCATTCGTCTTCAGTGCTACCCATATACCCGACACAAAGCTTTGTCATCGCCTCCTCCTCCTGCGTCGGCAAATCCTTGTACAAGACTCGGAAAATGCGCTCGAAAAAGTCAAGAGGAGTGAGAGGTGGAAGTGCGGAGGCATTTTGGATCACGGTTCCGGCATGAGCTTTGGCAAGTTTGGTTTTGGCGTCCTTCTTGTCTTTTGCTGATGGTTTTACAGGCGGCTTTACAGAGGTCAAGCAGGAAAATGTTTGCTACGTCTGAACGTACTGGGTTACGCGGCGCTGGGGGCTGGGCTGGAGGGGGTGTATCGGAGGCTTTACGCTTTCGTGGTACATGTTGGTCGGGCGGAGCTGCTGGCAAGGTTGACATTAGGTTGCTCAAACGGCCTCTGGTTGTAACTTTGGCGAGCTCTGAAGGGGAGCTATTAGACGCATTTTGAAGCACACCCTCCAGTAGCGGCATTGGAGACAGAAAGCGTTGATTGAAAGAACATATTTACAGATGTGACTAGCCCGATTTCCTGCTTAGACGGCATCGTTCTCGACAAGTTTACCGCAGACGATATACTTGTTGGAAAAGTGGTCAATCCAACCTGCGGAGAACAATGAGTAAATAAGAAACTTGATAGCGAAAGAACCGCCACACCTCTCATGTTGTCTCTGCAAGAGTTTCCACAGCGTTAGCAATAGATAAGCGAGAAAACGAGGGACACAAACATCTCGTCTTGCTGAAGGTCGGCCAACTTGTCGAGTGGTTGGTGGATTGGGGTCAGCATTTCTGCAGGCGATAAATGAAGTGTACACTTAGACAGAATGCAAGCACTCACCGACGTCAAAAGACTGCTTCGCCATCCCACGAGAGGCGTCTCTCCCGGCAAAGTTTCCGTACATCCCATCTGTAAGCCATGAACATTACATTCGTTCATTCAAAGCAGCAGCGCACTGGGCCCGTAAAAGTTCCTCCCCGCCGTAACGTCGAATACGGTGCCATTAATCGCAAGCAAGATGCGTCCTCCATCTTGGCCGGAGAACGGCTCCAGCGTCTTGGGGGTGTACGTCTTGAACAGGACGGTGGGCGGGTGCGTTTTCGGCATCCATGAGTACCCAGCCTTGAACTCCCGTGGGATGGTGGCCGGTTTGGAGACACTCGGGAAGACGATCCGCTGCACAGAGTACAAAATAAAGAAGAACAGAGCCGTATTCACGGGCGTCCCCAGCTGTAGTGTGAAGCCCATTGGCAAGTCGTCGTAAGGTAGTATGGTGACAAAGCGTGACCTCTCTCTTTCGGACCACCATCGGCTCAATTGCTACTGCTCCCTCGAAATGATAGTACTGAGTATGCATGCGATTTTGTTACTGCTCCCTTCATATCTCATCTTCGTTTAGATTCACAAGACGGTCCGACGGCGAGTGGCAGCAATGGTAGTAGTGAGCCTTCTGCCGAAAACCTACCAGAGTACACCAGTATAATTTCCTCCCGGCCGCTGCCTGTAATTTGTATCCTAACCGTTTCCTAGTTACATAGCCTCCAACCGGGCGCAACCCCCGCGGTATTCCCGCGTTCGCCGTCCCAAGAATCCTCTCAGTTATACATTCGTGCCTCCGCGCTTCGCCGATGACCCCAACTCGATGGTAATGGTGCCGCCGGAGGAAGCAGACGACCAAGGGCAATATCGAATATCAGTGTCCTTGAATCTCAACCCCTTCGTGCCCGTCTCGTACCGCACAACTGTGCATCGACTAGAAGGCCCCGATGAATCGTTTATTGGGGACTTTGAGTGCGTGCTGTGGGCTGGCCTTGGCACCTACCTCTAACATTCGCTCAGGCTTTCACTGAATCACCGTCGCGCCATAATCACGATCGGGGATATAACGACACGCCTCTCAAATGTGCTCTTCAACATAAATGCGTCTCCAGTGTGTACATATTCATTCTCGGCGCTTGACTAGCTTACACAAACATATCCTATTCAGAGACACTGGACTTGGAGATGGGATGAGATCGGCTTGCGGTGGGATTGCCGGTCCACGTTGGAAGACGGGAGTCCGATGTGTATTGTAGCTGCCGTTTCCTCTCCATGCGACCTCACCATGCTTACATATACTTCACAGTGCTACACCATCGCCTCACCCGTTCAGTTGGCCTCGTTCGTTCCCCCACCGCTCGATGCTCCACCTCCCCTTCCGGAAGCTGTGCTCACGGTGTTTCCCGATGGACACGAGTGTTTTGACCACATTTTGCTCTCCGCGTTAATTCTGCAACGCAAGATAGGGCTTGAGTATTAGGTATAGATAGCTGTTTTGTCCGTGCACCGTGTCCCTGCGTTATTATTATTGTAACCCAATACTGCGTCTGTGAAGAAAGCAATGCAGGTTAATATGCTCACATCAAACTGGGTTGGTCGATCGCGGGCCTCGTCACTCTAGTGTGGTTTTCAAGTTGGGCGTTCAACGATTCAACGTGGAAAATTGGGTGACTTGGGAGATATCGCGGAAAGCAGGATTTCAGCGGTTCGTCAGTGATATCGGATGCGGCCCGATGTTCCGTTCCTCAACCAAAACGCCTATGTTCAAACCCAGGTTCTAAGTTTCTGCGTCCTTGCGTGCGACAATGACGCACAACCACCACTCCGATGTCTAGCGCAGAAATCCTCGACATTCGGGAGAGACACCCTCGCAGTATAAACCTCGATAAAACTTCAGTGAACATCCGCAACCTCCGAAAATCCATTTGTGCGATCACTGGACACACGGAATATGTTCTTTCCAAAATCGCTGAAGGTTTGAGAGATAGATATCGCACTTTGTCTTGGAACTGACCCCGAACCGGGTGGATTTCATCGTGTGCGTAGATTGGGCCACTGAAGTACATCCACCCTCAATTCTAAAACGTGGCACAGATTTACTCGGCCAGGCTCACTGGAGGAGGAAATCGGAATCGGATATCATTGTGCGGGTGGTATTCGACATTCCTGATTTTAGGAACTTTAGAAAGATGGAATCCGAGGGTCTGACCACAAACTTAATACTTGTAAACTGTACTTCGCGACAAGGTGGCAACAATTAATTGGGTCGCGAAGAACACAAATATCCCCGTCCCAACGATTTTGTTTTACGACCCTAGTGGTCGGAGAAATCTTGAGGAATCAAACGATTGTGCAGACGTCGAAGAGTCAGACGTAGGCACTGAATACTACATGCTGATGAGCAAGGCAAATTTGTAGAATTTCTTCCGTCAACCCTTCACTGAGTTTCATCATCTTAGATCTCCGATAGAACACTTGAGCGGATGTGGCCGACCATGTCCGAACACCAGCGCAACAGGGTTGTCAGATCCTTGGCACAATACGCTGTCGAACTGCTACAGACTTGGATGTACTGGCGAAATGCGTTAGAGCTGCCTCGTAAAATATTCTCACAAGTCAAAGAGTTTCAGCTCAGGCTTTGGGATTTTAGAAGAGACGTGTCTAAGAGGGACGAATGGCTCAAGCGGACGACAGACGCGTGGGGTGCTGTGGTCACGAGACCGCGAAAGCTGTCACTGGTAACACTGACAAACAGTGAGCCGGCCCTTCAAATCGTTAGGTTCGGAGCAAGCCTGTCGCCGCTCCGGCCCGGCGAGCCGGCCCTTCGCTGAAGGGGCTTGCTTCAAACTGCGCCAAACAAAGGGCTTGAAGATCCCTTTCTAATCCTCTCAAATCTGGGTCAAATATTTACATCTAAGCTGGACC